CCCCGATATCAACACGAACACGGTTCCAGATTCGCAGTCATGAACGTAAGGAGATGATTGCTTGAGCTGTGGTCGGTGACGTTATTGCTACGTGACGTGCGACCTGGAATTTTCCACGATTGCGTTGAGGTGAAGGTGCAAGGCATAGTACCTCGTTTTGCCTGAGGGCCAAAGTTGTAGTCATACCAACCTAGTTTGTTGCGTGCTAGGCTGCTGGCCTCGGCCGACTTACTTTTAAATACTGGTGAGTTATCCAGTGCTGGAGGGGAATCGAGGCCGATGCGTCATGTCTCCAGTTCAATAATTACTCCAGCAAGCTCAGAGGGCTCCGATGTAGTTGCTGCATGATGTCTGGATGAAGTAGATGGCTTCTTAAACACGTTGTGGCCACTCAACGCATGTGCTGAAGGTGGCGTTGCGTAAGCTACTTGCTAAGGAAGATGATCTTTGGTTGCATTGGTCAGTTGTGCAGCTCGAGTGGGGGGAAAAGACCTTGGCGCTTACGTTGATAGCTTAGACAATTTCAGGTAGGTGCTGCAACCGGAGTTCCCGAAAGATGGAACCACCCATTGTAGCCGAGCCGAGAACTCTCTTCATCTCACCTTATGTGGCGGATGGTCAACTATCGCCTAGACGCGAGTCGTGGAACAGTTACTTGACTCGCGTACTCACCGCTTGCTCCAGCAGTATCACGATCTCATACTTAACGGACTCATAAGAAAGATCTGCATTTGGGTTCGTAAAAGTATCTCTGAGATTTAACAACGTCTGGGAAGGATGCTTAGCAATTCACTACACAAAGATTGTTCAGAAATGAAATTATGACACGAAAACGTATTAGCTAACAAGACAAACACAAAATGGGGTCACCTAATAGTTTAAGATGGCAAGACAGCGCCGCGGCACAAATTCCGAACACAGATATCAGAAGACAACTTTTGTGAGATGACACCCTCATTTCATGCATTCTCGTCGGCCACGTACATGCAATGAACAATTTAACCAAAGTAAGATCGCATCAAATCGATTGGCATTCAACTGTTGGACAATTAATGCGTCACTCACTACCACGGCAGGATTAGTGTCACTGTCAGCTCTTTTTGTATACAGAACAGTGGGCGCTGTTGATCAATATCGATGGCTCCGAGGAATTTGAGAAGGTGAGGCATTTGGTGGCGCGTGAGAATTGTGAATGACTCATCTGGGTTTACCTGGTGACAGGTGTTCATCAAATGCCTCATAATTGCGGAGGCAACATTGCCGCTTGATTCATGCGGTGCTACCACCGCGTGAAACGTTGGCTTGCATAGCCACTTTGAAATGTGTTCGTTGATTCGGACACCTAGGTTTCGATCAGTGCGCTTAACTAATAATAATAACTGATTTCAGCTGTACACAGTGACGGCGCTTCGCCGCTTTGCGACCACCACCAGTCGCACGCGGGCTGAGTATACCGCTAGGACACCCACCTCTACGCGGATTCGAACCCGTGTCGCAAGATTACGAGACAAGCTCGTTACCACTAGGGAGGACAGTGCGCCCAACGTAGCTCTCTGAACAGCTACCTGTGACTTTTATAGGCAATAGAACGTGTACTGCTCCGACACCGGTGTATTCACTTCTCACTTAAAAAGTAGTCTGTGGACTTGAGCAAGCGTAGCTCTGCTGCATTTTATGCCTTTTTCATTGAGGCGCAACGATAACTGTTAAGTCGGAAATATTAGTGTACGACTGTGCCGTAAAATAGCACAAACAAAAATTTGCAACAAGCCTTTTCAGGAAGAAATGATCGACTTCACCAAATATTGATTTCAGCGATGGAGGAAACATGCTCGCACTCAGGCTCACCCATTGTTGGATGTTATTCAACTGCTAATCGCAAGCAGTGGCATGTAAGGGGCGTGCCTAGTAAGCGAACACGGAGAACAGTTAGATCGGTTGGACCAACGTGTATTGATAGAAGCTATAAAGAACGGAGAATACGTGAGCAAGAGCAGTGGGTGCCTTAACAGGGTAACTCACTAGGAAGGTGGGACTGATCAGGATACACAATCAAATGAATGGAAGATTACAAGATACAAGTACGAAGAAAATCCAGAGTGGTAAAATACTGAAAGCGTAAATGTTCCAACTTCACCAGATTTCCAGCAATAACAACACTGAATTTCTTTAGAGCTTGACAACTTTGACAACTTAAAAGGTGGACCGATCTCAGGCGTCCCCGAGTACAGCTTGCCAGCATGCACTTTCCATCAGGCTAATTCGGATGACATTTTGAAGCCAAGTACGCACGCGCATCTAGTGAAACAAACAATGCGTGAGTGCTGTCAGCTATTTGCAGCGAAATAATCTTTAGTACCGGGTAAATATAGTAGACCGCTCGGCTGCTCAATTGGTCCTAGAGTCTGACAATGCTTCTGTAGATTTTTCGGTGTCAATGGTGGTACCTTAGTCAGTGCTAAATGGTCGGTTGTGGTACCAGGTAAATCCGGAAATAGATATCACCAAGTACTATTCCAGTTTACATACACACGCTTGGTGTTATGAAATAGGCTTCAGCATTGATACTCCACCGCGATTTTCTATCGTGCTTCACTTAAACGTTGTTATTCCGACTTGGAGGACTGTTAACATTTCATTGAAGTAGTTGGTGTATAACAGGTTTTATGTCGCTCGTTTTTTACGAAGTTCTCGATGTTTCACGGTCTTGTTCAAATTGGTGATTCCCAATTTATCTAATTTCTTTTACCGGATCGGTTAGTATAAAGGGCCGAAATCGATACTCACATCAAGTATCTTTGATCTAGATGTGCAGGCTTAAAGGGATTCTCGTCCTTTTTATGTCTCAATTTGAGTGGGCATATCCGTATTGCCCCATGCGAAGTTTTACACCTTCCTTTTACACATACCGAAACTACGGGTACTAGCCAATCTTTTCCATAGGTCACTTTTGCGCTCTTGTGTCCTCGTGGATAAATTCCTTTCCATCTGATCCGTGTGTATTTTTTTCAAAACTGCTTCTGACGCGTTATTTCAGGTGACCGACAATGGCGCCTATCGGGAGTTATGCATGCAACGTATAGTCAAGTGTATCGGCCGTTCAGCTGCCGTCCCACTTCCCACTTCCACTGCTTGTCCACTCAAGGCCGTGGAGCAAGAGTACGCCCTACAACTGCAACAGCGATCAGAGAAACAGCGCCACAAACGAGTTCTATCTGCTCGCGAAAGATTAAGGCGGCAATCAGAGGAAGATAAGAAGTTACTGGCTAAACAGCAGGCTGAATGGGTAAGATAAGCATCTGACCATCGTTGTTCATGCAACCTTCCTAAGTTGCTGTACCAGCAGTTGGAAAACTTGAGGTCTACAGCTGCGAAGTGCAGTGAAGTACACTTCAACCCCACGTCAAAAGACTGTGAAGGAGGTGAAATCCGCATTTATTTTGTGTCATGGTACTCCCAAGTGTGTTTGATGGAACGCTGACAAGATTTCTATTTGTCTGATGTCATCGCGAAGAGCGCCAGCTCCAGGGACCTACTGTACGGTAACGGAGAGGAGGACCCAGTCCTAATGACGGTGCCTTAGGCTAAACGAGCGGCCTTGTAATGTTGAACACCCATATTCCAGCTCCGAATAAATCGTGGCTGCCATCCGCATTCCCACCGGCCTCAATCTTTCGGGTTTGCACTACATATGGCTATGTATAGATGAAGCTGTGTAAGGTGCTGCACCAGACATCCACCGTCCTTCTGTAGGCGTAAACGTTTTGTGTTTGTTCACACTTTGAAAAGCAACTGCGGAACCAGGTGACTTCCACTACTTTTCCACATTCTGGGTACGTGCGTGTTTGTTTGCTCATCACAACCTATTTGTAACTGATAGGATTCATAAGCAACTCGGTTGAATCGTTGTTTGTTTTGCAACATTCCAAATACGCTTCTGTTTTGTGTGCATCCCTTTTCACAGGACCAGTGGTTGGAATTGATCAAAACTCAACGCCATCAATGTGCCGAGGCCAAAGCACTCCCAATGCGGCACTATTTGATGAAGTATGTGATACCAGATTTGACCCAGGCGCTGTTGGCTAGCGCTGCTGTTCGTCCGAATGATCCTATCGATTTTGTGGTAAGTTTACGTTTACTGATTGCATGGTTCAAATTTGGGTCCGAAAAATCTCCATTAGTACATGTATCCGATAGCTAGTATGCAGATAACTCGCCACACCCCCTTCTCTCTAATCACACCTAATGTGGAACGCTATAAGTTTCAAATAGCCGCATTTATGACTCATATATTGGATTTTAATAGTAAGCTCCGTGCCTAAAGTGAGCACATCAAATTGCTACAAGGTGATGAAGGATTTGATATCGCCACTATTACTGTCGGACTGTCCATGCGCCTCGGATAACCTACTGGTCCTCAAGGGGAATAGAATCAGTTACACTTGAGTTAATTTCCGCGTCGGTAAATGATGCTTTGATCATGAAGCCATACTTCCTCAGATGCTCGAACAATATCATGAATGTGAAATAGTCTACGTCGTCGTCGTTTTTGGCCCGAAAACTGATTTTGACTTTGTCAATCAAACTGGGCGTGGTGACTGTCAGCGAAGAACGTGTCGGAAATATATATTGTAACCTAAACTTCCTGCTCCAAAGCCCCAAGTTCTTTACGTTAGGTGTAGTACATCAGGATGTTTGTAATTCGCCTTTTCTCTCGGAAATATCGTAGCTTTCCTGTCTTCTCGGCCTGGTGAAACGATTATTTTCGTACCAATAGCTTCTTAACAGATACGTCAATAGCCTTCGCGAAACGCAGCGCAGGATCTCGCCACTCACTACTGTTGGTGGATACAATGAACAACGATTTTATACGGGTTAAAAAGCATTACAGGCCCCGTTGGATAGTCTGGTGAGGTTATAGAAAACGTTTAAAAACAGTTAGTGCATTTGCCGTTCTGTTGTGCCGTTCTGCCGTTCTATTCTCTCCGCAGTTTCACATCATGCATAAGTGACGGATATTAAATCCGAGGTTTTTTTATACGAGTGGATCGGAGCGATAATGCTCATTGACAAAATGTAGGTGCCTGAATGCGGTTTCCTACCATGCTTTGAATATGTCTAGTGTCGGTGCGGAAACGACCGATTCGAGGAATGTGTTCTAGGGGAGATACACACTAACGGAAGAGAAATTTTGTGACATTTCTGGTGGTTGCCAACTTCATGGTATGACCTCTTAGACGGCTATTACCGCCGAACTTCAGTGAAGAGCGGAACACATGATCTCACTCGCTCGTAATCATATAAACCATTATCAGATCACCTCGTAATCGGTGACCAAACCTCTCTGAACTCAAGTTTCAAGTTTCAAGCATATTCCAAGAATTCACTCCTCAGTTGATTCGTCTCTCTGCACTGGAACTACGATTCAAGTTGAGCATCTGTGATCAGTTTTACAGTTCTCCTTTAGACGGCAAGCTCTACAATAGAACAACTTGATATGGATCCAGTAAACTGTCTAACGGTCATGAAGCTTACTGTTTTTGGGCGGCCCTTGCACTTCAAAACGCGGTCTCATATGGTTCACCTGTCTAGTTCATATAAGGGAATCCACTCGCGTTCTGTATGGAACAAATGAAATCCGTTCAACAACAAGGACAGACATTCAGATTGATATTCCATCACCAGGCATGAAATGCCGGGGGTGTGCTGCATGATGGCGATTAAAAGCTAGCTCCATTTGAACGGTTCGTTCGCTCTTCTGTGGAAATGATTTCAAAGCATCAGGGACAATTCTGATATACCGCGAAACCCTTCGGATGGAGATACGTTTTGTGGCCCTGCTGGACTTGGCGTCATACAGTAAATCTGAAAACTTTTATCGATGTTTACCTGGCTATTCCCCTCCACCTCCATTTTATCAATGCTTGCTTAAACATGTCAGCAAATGTTCAGCTTTCCGTTTTGTTTGTGCATCGTACGCTGGAGTGCGTATGTGTTCGATACCATGTTAGTTGCGAAATTCTGCAAATGCTTGAGAAGTGAATCTAGAACTATTGTCCGAAACAATAATTTGGGGACTCCAAATTCTGAGATAACATTGCGTAAGTGCGTAAGTGATTACGTATCTCACATGAAAATTTCGGGCCACTTTGAATAAGCATCGACAATCTCCAGATAGTTAACTCCTTCCAGTGGGTCCTTAAATCAATATAAATGCGAGACCATGGTCCACTTGGAATATGCCAAGAAGGACGCTCGCATTTTATGGGTAGTTTTGCTGCCATAGCACAGCTGTTACAAGAACGAACCACATTTGCAAAATCTTGGTCCATGGATATCCAGTGGGCATAGCTGTGGACTATGGATTTCATACGACGGATTTCCGGGTGAACTTCGTGTAGCTGACCAAGAACTTCTTTTTGTAGAGTCTTAGGGAGCACAACTTGGTCAGCTAAAATCAAGCAGCCATCAGTTGTGGTTAAAGCGAATTTCCTTTGCCGAAACTGCTCACCATCGACGTCAAGGGGCGTGCAGGCCAACCAGTGCTAAGGTACCCAATAATACGTAGTAACAGGGGATTTTCTGCCGTTTCTACTCGGACTGTGTCTGCTGTTACCAGAAGTTGGCTTACGGATGTTTGAAACACTTGTCTAGTCTCCGAGTCTGAGGTAATGCTGGATACAACGTTACCTTCATTCGATGTCTTGGAAGTGCAGTCAGCAATCAGTCTGGATGAAGTATTCACGTTACCAAACTAAGATGTATATTTAACAACGCAAATCAAAACCGTATGCTAATAGGGTGGTCGCCCAACATTGTAATGGATTCGTCATGTGAACGGGGATGCTTCGCTTGGTGCCACAAATCGACAGCAAAAGTTTATGGTCTGTGTACAAAGTAACTTTGCGTCCATGTACCATCTTATGAAATTTCAACCGCGAAAACGAGAGCTAGTCCTTCTTTCTCTATTCGACTGTACTTTTTATCCGCTGCTGTCGACATGCATCACCACCTTTTGATGTACGTTTGCTAACTGATACATCAAGACATCACCGAAATCATTTTGTTTGCATCAGCAGCGACAATCATGGGTAATACTAGGTCCTAACTAGTCAGGAGGAGATCGGAGAACAACCATTTTTAATGTCCTCAAAGGGTTTCTAGCATTGGGATGACCAATGCCACACTGACTCGTTCGCCAAGAGTGCAGTTAGTGGAGTCCTGAGTTTGTGCATCTGAGAGACAAAGTTGTGACCAAAGAAAGACTGCAAAGTATCATTTTCCTGGGGTGTGGCATAAACTCGATGGCTTTAATTTTGTTTGGATCTGGCCGGCGACCGAAATTGTCGATAACCGAGAGAAAGTATGTGCTACTGGGCGTCATGAACACGCACTTCTCTGGAGGTACACGAAATCCATATGAAGGTATCCTGGAGAATGCTTCGTTCAGGTGGATGTAATGATCTTCAGTGGTGATGCTTACGATTATTATGTCAACTAAATAAGCCATGGCACACTGTAATCCGGATAACATATCGTCCATCGTTTGCTGAAAGATCGCTGGAGCACATTTTACTCCGAAATATAAGGGCTTGTAACGGTACAAACCTCAATGAGTATTAATAGTGAGCAGTTCTTTTGAGCGCGCCTCGACTAGCACTTGCAAGTTGCATCAGAAAGATCAGTTTTAGATAAAATCTTTTCTCCATTAACCTTGATGAATTAATCCTCGGGAACAGGTAAGGAATATTGATGCGTTTCCAGTGCGGTATTTAATCCGGTCGATAAAGCAGCACAAATACCCAAACTGCCATTTGCCTTTCTGATGACTACAATAGGTGAAGCCCACGCTGAGTAGTTCACAGAACTGATGACGCCCGTGGACTCCAGTCGACTAATTTCGGCATCCTTAGCCCCAACAGCAGCGTCTGGTACTGTCCGCTTTGGACAAAATACTGGGCTTACAGCTGTACGTGGATACAACCCAGCTTTTATCATAGAACACATTCCAAGACCCACTGCAAAAATATTTGAATATCTAGACGCAAGATACGATAAATCTTCCGCAATGGCTTTAAAACTTACGCGTGTAACCGAAAACTGTGTATCGGTGGGACACAGTTGTAGCGAAATGTCAAACTGAGAAGCGCTCTACCAACGCTGTGCAAACGAATGCCGGGCCAAAGTGTGAGAAGGAGGGTGAAGAAACCGCTTGGCCGAACGTCATGCTAGCGAGTGGGGGAGGGAACAGTTTGAACACCACGATCAGCAATACTTTGCTAGCGGGAGATGGCCGGACCGGTAAAGTATGATGAGATACTGGGCCAAGGTGGTGGACGCCGAACTCGCTACTGGATTTCTGCAGTGTTTCTGTGACACATAAATAGAACTTTCTTCTTAACATAAATAGAGTCCGCCAACCATGTATGTGTGCCCCATGCTGAGGCTGATGTTGCATTCTTGATGCTTATTCACCGCAGTTGGGCTAAACCAACTTACACTTAAACTAGGTCTTTTTAAGCTGGATAAATTTCATTCCGCTTTATTTGGTTTGTTCTGCCTCCCTGAATAATGTTCTATTAACTGGCCACGTTGCTTACACTAATTGCGCTTATCTTCGGTAATTTTGTTGCGTTTGTAGCATTTTAAGTAACTTGTGGACATTTCTTACTTATCACGGATTTGTTGCTAACCAACTTACTTTTCCTATGGTAATTTAGCGAAGAGTTATGCCACCGTTTCTGTATGCATTATTGGATTTATTTTATTTCAGCTTGTCGTTTAAAGTGAACGGCTGTTGTTTGATATCCCTGGTATGGTTTCGCTTGATGTGTATGTTGACAAGGTGCCTACCTGTCTATTACCCACTACATCGTTCATACTGGCTCCAGGAGACAGTTGGTCGTTGCTGGAGGGGACGGGGTGCACGGTTCTTGTGGCCGTGCTAGGCTCAAAGAGCGGTTCCATGCACTCAGTGTGGAGCGGACTACGGTCCAGCCACCGCCTTGTGTGCGGTTGATTCCCCAAATACAGCGTGCTTGTGTTTGCCTGTGAAGGAGTGTGGGCCGGCTCCGTTGATGAAACGTGGTTCCCATCCGCATGCCTCCCGGTCTTATTCCTTCGGGTTTACACTGGATATGGGGTATGTGGTTGGAGCTGTGGGTGGTGCAGCGCAAGCCATCCATGGTCCCTCTGTAGGCGCAGGCGTCCTGTGGCTTGCCACAGTGACAGGCAAATCCGAAACCGGATGCCGCCAACCATGTATGAAAGTTTGTCTATCCAAACGATGCCAAACAAGTTAAATGCCCATAATGTGTAGCCTAGCAAACACCATCAGAATGCAAATCGCAAGTGCGAAATCACGCTTGAACTACTCAAGTAAAGGTAATTCCGAACCATACCAGTCGTGAGCGATGTGTAGATGTTGAACTCATGTGGGTTCACGGAGCTTGCTCCATGTCGACCCAGAGATTATTGTCATATCAGAAGTCGTGTCCAGTTGACTTCGAACAGAAACACCGCTTATCAGAATCGTAGCATGCTTCCGCAATGACTGGTAGTTCGGGATAGTGGTTACAAACACCAGATTTGAAAGGCAACATTGAAAAATAGGGGGGTTTGGTGGTACCGTGACTGTCTTCCAGGGACTTTAAGCAAAAATCTGGTTCCCTCAGACCCCATATTCCCACAACGCTTGCAAACATATCGTCTGAATTAACAACACCGAGCGAAATGCCACTGACCACTGTGCCAATAAGCACTAGGCGGGCGACCCCGACGTGCGAAGTCGGAGAGATGTACTGAATTGTGCGATGGCCTGCAGTTCCATTGGATCATTTCTGTGTCATGCTTTAGTGTCGACATATGTTCACATTCCTGTACCAGCTGCTGCAGTGGGAATTTCGGATCAGACTTCATCCTATATAACAAAATGTGTTTTCACCGCTGCATCTTTTGGTGTACTTAATCCACAAACAAAAATGAGCGCTTTAAACTGATTGCTTGTGAGCGTGCTAGGCTGAAAGGCTCGCATGCTCTGTTAAAGACAGCCACGTAAGTCACAAAATCCTTATGATGGTGTCTAAGAACTTGAAAACATCTGGAACATGTGTTGCAGAATAACGTCTTAGGGCCGAAATTTCTGATCCAGTTCTTCACAGTTTCCTCCCAGAACACATCTCGTGGGTTCTTGGGTAGGACGTAATTAGAACACTTTTCGTACTCTTGTGGACCAAATTTCCTCAAAAGAAGGCGCACCTGAACTGCATCGTCTAGCCCACTGCCATCAGTGTTTAAAAAGGCGAAACCGTGCTTCGAAAGAAAGGTTATTATCCGGCTGGTAATGGAATTCTGTCATACTTTGTGCCAGCTTGTCTGCGGTGAAAACCGTTGCGTTTGTAGCTGCTGACTGTAACGGCACATCCGTGTTGTTAATGCTTCAAGTAAACGTTGCTGTGGCGCCGCGAATTGTGCTAGCATACTGGACAGCATTTCTTGAAACATTTCAAAGTGCAGGGAAACGGCACTCGGGGCAAACCGAAAATAACATTATCAGAACATGAAGAAGGTGAGTGTATGACAAACTCATGTTGATTACAGTTGTTACGAATCCAAGTCAAATACTGATTAATGCGAGCTCCGTGGATTACTATAAATGGTGGTTGCTGAGGTGCAGGAGAAGACACTATTGCAGTACGCTGCCATTCGATTTACAATTTCAGGCCAATAAGGCGGGCGTATGTGGTACGTTTGCCTGCGTGATGAGTAATCTTACATTTCAGAAGTACATGTTGCTTGAGCTCCCCGGTGTGGCTGCGCCTGATATGAATGTTGACAAGGTGTATGCCTCTCTAGTACCCACTACCTCCTTTATAATGGCTCCAGTAGACAGTGGGTTGTTGCTGGTGGGGACGGGTGCACCATCTTCGTGACGGTGTCAGGCTCAAAGAGTGGTTCCATCCTGTGTGGAATGGGCTACGGTCCAGCCACCGTCATGTGTACGTCTGGTGTGCATGATTCCCAATTAGGCCGGAATGCTTCTGTTCTACTTGTTGAAGGAGTGTGGGCCGGCTCCGTTGACGAAACGTGGCTCCCATTCGCATGCCCCCCCGGTCTTATTCCTTTTGGGTTTGCACCGGATATGAGGTGTGTGGGTGGAACTGTGGGTGGTGCAGCGCAAGCCACCCATGGCCCTCTGTAGGCGCAGGCGTCCTGCGACTGTCCCCATGGAGGTCACAGTGACAAGCAAATCCGGATACGGACGCAGCCAAGTCATGTACGTGGAATATACCAAGATTGGGTAATTGGATGGTGGTGATTTCACCGTCTGTCACGTTACGTTGTCTCCTGAGGTGCAATGCTTGCAGACACTTCAATTGCTTTACATCTTTTCTGTTCCCTTCATCACTTTGAATGCAATGCAAACTCTCCTACCAAAGAACTGATTGTACGCGACTCTCGCACAACAGTCACACCGTAGTGGACTCGGTTATTTTACCAAATTTCGTTTCGCCGATTTCATGCTGATGATTCAAATCGTCTGTCTTTTGAGTCTTCTTAACAACTTATTTGTCTTCTTTATGGACAGGCTGAGTATCTCCTGAAGAACGGAGCGAAGCTCTAATTGATGAACCTGTCAGGGGAATTCCACATTGCTCCAGTACGCTGGAGCGCATCCTAATGAGCGAGGTGAAATGGTGCGATTCCTGGATTCATTTACGTGCACGATGAAATACAATGTATCTTCACGTGTTGTCTTGCTATTTGACTAGAGAAGAGTAAGGAAAAGGGGGAGTTCTGCAAATAAGTTCAGACCATGCAGCAACGTTTTGAAATGCCACACGTTGCATGCTTCCGCCACAAGTAAATTTACTTGTCTGCATCCTAAATAGTTACGTTTCTTCAGTATGGCCTTATAGTGTCCCGTAGAAGTGAAGCAGGGCATTTTATACACAAATATTGTTTCAGATGGAGCCTACCAACTTCGCAATTGTGACCAAACTTTTGCGTCATTTTGAGATTGCTTAGTTTAGTTTGGTTAAACGTTCACCTGCCTTGTTTCGGTTAATGTAGTCGCGCATTAAATGGCTTCGCTTGATTGATTATGCCTCAATTATGCCACGATACCAAATAAGAATATTAGAAGGCGCAAGTTGTTAGATAAAAATGCCATGTTGTGCAAGCGCTTCTGCCAAGTAGATGCAACTAATAGTGAATGCAAAACAAGGCCATGTGAAATCGGTTGGGGGCCAGCAGTCTTCTGGTTGGAGCGTTACACAGAACTACAGTAGGTTTAATGTCACATTCTCAGCTGGGGTTGGGTGCAATCCATCAGTAATAAGGGCCTCGAGGAGCTGAAGGATGGGAAGTATTTCCTTGCGTTTAGGGCGCTGAAGTCTGTGAAAACCCATTCTCCGCAAATATATGGTCTACTAAAGACAAGATTACCCATGCACACTATATGTTGCGTAATTAATTTTTTTGATCATACCGTCGCTAAATAGCTGAACTACATAACTGAGACAGTGAGAAAAGCCATGGTAAAACATATTCTATCGGATATCTTAGGAGCATAAACTTCAGCCACCAGCGCATATCTTCAGTTGGTGGGCAGTCAACTTTTACCAAAGTTCCGTTGAACTAGGATGTTGACCACCAATGTGAGTACAGCATACGAGTAGTCTTAAGTTAATAAAATAACAACGTATACTGTGCATATGATATCCGTTTGTGGGGGGTTAGAACAAGGAGTCTTTTACTTGCGTATGGGTAATCTGGAGTGTCAAGCCACGAAGATTGCGCGGTGAATGGTTTCCGCAATTAACTAGCAGTAAGATGCATATCGACCAGATTTCCTACATGCCATAGATAGGTTGATCCTCGGACAGCGAAAATTGCCTGGCTGAATCCCAATTCTCCAAAGTGAATATAATCTATCTCTAGCAGGTAGACACAATTCCAGCGTTGTGAACCACTAAAATTCAGAAGGATTCAACACTGGAGGACCTCCACTTTTGCCTACTCATGTGAACGAGTCTCCATTAGCCAGCAAGTAATCCGTAGTGCAGAATTCAAGCGAAACACGTTCCTGGTCCGTAGTTAGTCAAGAACAAGGCACAGTACGAAACAGAGTTTATCAGACGAACTACCGCAACATGACTCACATGACACATGAGTTTAAAGCATGAAGTGGAGAAATATTGATTAATCAGTGCGGGCAAACCAATAAGATCTCAGTGTGGCTGAACACATTCATCAATATCATCGACGGACATAACATCCTCTGCTCGCTTAGAGAAAATCATACTCCGATAACGAAGCGTTCACCTGGTTTAGGTACACGTTGAGATCTGCGAGATGGTGGCAGTGTGTTGTTTGCACTGTATCCTGAGTAGTTTGTTTCACCGTCAGCTGGACTGACTCAGATATATTTCCCCTATTTCCTCGTATTTCTACATAGCGCGGACGTATGTGACCTGAATGCCGCTTCAAGACGCGGCCAGTTAACTTTAGGTCAGCATAGGTACCATCAATTGTGACCACAGTTGCGGACTGCCATGATTGTTCATGGGGAAGTCGTGTATACACAAGATCCCTGTCCAACGTAGCTGACTTGTTTTATTTCGCTTCCGTTTGCGTTCCGCGATTAGGAAATAATAGGTGTAATCTAGTACGAAGTGTTCTACTGACCATCAGTTCTGTGGAGGATTTGCACATGGCTTATCGGAGTTACTCTGTAGGCAACAAGTAATCGATCCATTCCCGTTTGTATGATTACTGATAACCGGTTAGGCAGGCCTTGTTTTATCGTCTGCACTGCCCGTTCGGCTAATACATTTGACACTGGATGATATGGGACTGTACGAACGTGTTGAATGCTACCGCACAACATGAAGCTCAAACTCCTCACTTGCAAAAGATGACCCATTATCCGTACAAACAATTTCAGGTATTCCGAAAACGGCAAAGGGTGATTGCATCTTTTGAGATGGTTGTTCCAGCCGTAGAAAGAGACACTAGATAAGCATCGATCCATTTCGAATGAGCATCGATTATCAACAGAAAACAGGTTCCGTTCAAAAGACCAAAATAGTCTGCATGAATGCGCTGCCAAGGCCAAGGGTGTATTGGACCTGGAAGTTTATTCGACTGATATTGTTGGCAGAGATCACACGTTTTCAGGTAGTTTGCAATTTCCCAATTTAAGCCGAACCACCAGCAATAGCTGCGTGCTAGGGCTTTCCTTTGGGAATTTCCTTGTTGTGGAAAGTGTAGGGTCCAGGCCGACAACCATTTGACCGACTGGTATCCATCGAGCGGTGTCGTGTGACAGGGCACTGTATTGGGGCCCAGTTTGCTCCTGATCCATGCTAATGATATGCCTCAGCTACTCCGTACAACTTGCGCGTTGTTCGCAAATGACTTAAAGGTGTGGAGAGTAATCCGCGCACCCAGTAACTGTGACCTGGTTCCGCAGGACCTCGACTGCCTCTCCACGTGGTCTGCAGAGGTCAATCTTCCGATCAATCCAGTCAAGTCTCAGTTAATGAGGATGGGTAGGTTTGATCGCAGTCGAACCTACACTGTGGCCGGTCGACCTTTACATTGTGGGTTATTCGTGCAAGACCTCGGTGTACTCTCACGCTACGACCTAAAGTCCATGGACAACACGAATAGGCTGTACCAAAACAGCCTTCGTATGCTTTGGGCTCTCAGGCGCAGCTTCAGCACTTGGTCCGAAGAGATTGCCACTCGCCTCTTCGTCTCAATAATACGACCAATGCTAGAGTATGGTTCTCCCGCGTATTGTCCTATCACCCGGTGCGAGATAGAAAAGATTGAGCGAGTGCAGCATGAAGCCACTAGGTTGATTCCCAATTTAAGAGGTGTGCCGTACGACGATTTTGTAAGAAACTATGGCTTTACACCCTAGCTTATCGTCGACTGCGGTTTGACCTCATTATGACTCACCGGATAGTGTATCAAGCTGAAGACCCAATCTTGAGGCCGCTGCTGCATCTGCAAACACCAAACAAGCATGAGAACACCGGTACAAGCTTGTCGTACCGGATTGGAATCGCGTCGTCCAACAACTCTGTTTCGAATGGGGAGTGATACATGTATGGAACAACCTTCTGCAGCACGTAGTTGAGACAAATTCTGTGTTGGAAATTAAGCAATTCCTGGGTAAACACTGCGGGTGACAAAGATATCGAGCGCACTACAACCTAATGGCTATTTGTGCCTAATTAATATTAGATGCAGCTATACAAAGAAGTCTATCCTTGCAGCATCCAACCAATACCGTTACACCTGGATTTCCATTGTGAAGTTCAGAATGAAGGAGCGCGCTTTTGACGGTGGAACCAAACGTAAGCCTCACAATAAGCAAACATTGTGCATTTTCAGCTCATTTTTCCGAAGCCCAAAAGCTTTCCAATCAGCCGGAATTCTAATAGGCCAACCCAGTTTAGTGAAACGTATCATGGAGGTTGGTTTGGGATTCTGATCAGTATATCGACGTCTGACGTCACTTGTCAAAGGGTAATGTCGAGGTATTGCATCCAATGAACTAACTCCACCGGTTCATCTGCTGACTCCGCGGGGGTTGTGTACGGTAACCGACCCAGGGCATCTGCCTGGCATGTAAGCTATTTTGTACTCATACGCAACAAGAATTAGTGCCCATCGTTGCATTCTAGATGAAAACATTTGTTGAATCCCCTTGGATTCACACAAGAAGGATATCAACGGTTTGTGATCAGTGTGGATCTCAAAATGACTGCCTCAAGTATATTGGGGAAATTTCTTTATACCAGCGATAACTGATAGGTCCTCTCCATCCAATTGTGAATAGTTTTGTTCCGCATATTTTTAGGTACGCGAAATGAACGCACTCGGATGAATTGCACCATCCGGCATTTTATTGCACAAATCCCCTCCAAACCCGTATGGAGAAGCATGACACTGGATGCTCAAAGGCTTTTTTCTATCGTACGGAACTAAAATTGACGCTTATGCTAAGCCGATTTTGTCACAAATGAAGGCGAACCGATGCTCCTCAGTCGACAAAAATGTAGTATGTTTGTAGCAGTGCATTCAACGGAACTACAATAGTTGATGTCCCGGTAAATACAACGATAGTGTGATAACATTTATAAGAATAATCGGAGTTCATCAACGTTCCTAGGCAGAAGTGCCTGTATGATTCGGGATGCTTTATCCTGCAAAACATGCAGACCCCTCTTACCAAATTTGTAGCCAAGATAACCAACAGCTTCAGACAAAACACACGTGTAGATTGGAGGGTCAAGTTTGGATTACACGTTGTGTGATTGGATTGCAACACGCAACCTCAATTTAATGGACTGTGATTCACATTGAAATGAACCTTAGTCACAGCGATCACTGGGACCGTATTCAAAGTAGATAGAAATCAGTTATTGCCCACCCGGTCCCAGTGATCGCGGTGACTAAGGTTCATTTCAATGTGAATCACAGTCCATTAAATTGAAGTTGCGTGTCGCAACCCAATCACACAACGTGTAATCCAAACTTGACCCTCCAATTAGTCGGTTACCGTTGTGACAAAATGTGTTGCCCATCGTGACCCCGTAGCCAAAG